GGTACAGGGATCCAAATCCTTGACTTTGGTGTTATAACACTGTGCTCTAACCAATTGAGCTAACTGGAGAGCCTATTGGTTAAATGTATAATTAAAGCCTTCATCATACCTGTAAATTCTTTTTTTTTTTTCCTTTTTTCCTTTTTGTCTCTTTTCGTGTCCGGCAACGGATCACAACCCTCAGTGTCGCACCCGTACCGGACCGGACCGGCAACGGGATCGCAACCCTCAGTGTTGCGCCCGCACCTCACTCAGCCAGTGAGCGGGAACCGGTCTGTATGTGGGATCCGAACCCTTGGCGGGAGTGCCGCCGTGCTCCCAAGCGGTGCACCATAGCAGTGCGCCACCGGGCCGGCCCCATACCTGTAAATTCTTTAGGAAAAACAGACTTAATCCTCATGAGAGGACAGTGTCTTGATTAGTTCTTTTTTAAATTTTTAAATTATTCACTCATAGAAAAGACTACCAATCTGATATCTTTATTTAAGTGAAGGAAGTAGAAAATATTTACTAGCTGGTACCCCAAGACTGTAATTCTGTCAGCATTTTAATTTACAACTTAGATTTTTTAAAGGAAGGTATGTTCAATGAAGGCGCTTGGATTCTGGCTTTAAATCACAAGACAATGTCTTACATATTCATACGGCCATGCCCTCTGACAAGACAAGAATGAAGCAAGTGCATGGAAATCTTTCTGTACAGTAAAATTTCCAGCCTGATCTATGTATATTCATAAATGCATATATACATGTGGTCTACTAATTTTCAAAACAGATGCTTAGTTCGTACATTATTGATTATATGTACATCTACTGTGAATTGTCACTAAAAATATCAAGCACCTTACTGCTAAACTCATAAGTGGTTGAGTTTTTATTTGTTCTTATGATGCTAACAAATAAACTGAATAGATTATTTGCAATATTGTAACTTGCCTTGATGAAAGAATTCCTCTGTTACTTTTTCACTCCACTGCTTGCTTAATTCCCAGGTCCGACATGGGTTACAAATATCAGCACATTTCAAAGCCATCTAGCAAACAAAATATTAAAATTGTTCTAAGAAAAAAAAGTAAAATCTGAATTGTACTAAGTTTAAATAATACTCTAATAGTGGAAAAAAGAACACTTTAAAAAAAGAGAATACATATTGCAACAAATATTCATTGTCTTTTATATTAATTTTATGATGTTATTGGCTCTACCCATTGCTTTTTGCAGAAATGCTGATGAAGAGGCTGTAAGACTGCTAATCTAATTATACATGCTTGCTAATACCAAGGAGCCAAGCACAAGGACTGGATGAACCATAAAATATAAACAAATAAGCTATAAATAAATAATTCATTTCTCTCTCCCATTTTTTATATGTGAGAATTTATTAGAACAAAACGCTGTTTGTTGATTTACATCCTAAATCTTGCAGAAATTGTTTTCATCAGAAATCTTGAGTATGAAAACTACTAAAGCAATGGTGCCTTCACAGGTAGCAGATCCACCAGTGATCTCCTTCAGGAAACCGTGTGTACTAATTGAAGGAAACACCTCACCTTTCCCTCAGGATTTAACCAATCTGAAAAACTATACTAGAATATTTCATTTTTATTCTAATACTCACATGATTTACCCTAGAAATAGAATCTTTCCAAGCCCCATTTTACCTGTAAAACCAAATGCCTATGTCTGGTGTCTTCTAGGCATAAGTCACCTCTATCCAAATGGGACCTAAATAATGACAGATATTCATTCTGACGACTGATGTCTGTGGCTAGTATCAAAGCACCTATCTGAGTCTCCATTTGTTGCCTGGAATTGGAGAAATATAAAGAGAAAATGTTAGGCTTTCTATTAAATAATTACTTCTTGATATTTTTTCTTAACCTTAATACTTGAAAAGCTTTATACAGCCCTAAGATATTCTAACTGCCATTCAACTTAAAATTTATCACAAAAAAAAGAATTTAAAAAAATGCATCAAAAAACCATTAAAATAATCAAAACTGAAACCAAGAGAGTTTGTAGAAAAATGCCAATATGCAAACATTTTAAAAGGAGTGCATTAATTTTGCCAGCCAAGGTGGAATTATTTGCTTAAAAAAAAATCGATAAACATTGGTATGTTGTTTGAGAAAATTCTTTGCTGGAAAACTCTTGTGGTGAGGGTAAATAACTTTGGTTTCTTTTTTAGTTTCTAAGATCTGAAAGGCAGAAGATTCAAATGGAGAGAATAAAAGCCCATTCAACTGACTCCTACAGACATTCTGACTAAGATGTCTGATGACATTCCACTAAACAATTTAATAAAAGATAGATTCAACTGTATTTTCAGGGTTAAACTCAAGAACCAATCAGTCATCTGTATACGAATATCCAAATTCTCTGGAAGGAAAAATGTAACCTGTTAGTACAAATAGCAAATACACTATATCATTTTAAAAACTGCCTCCAGTCAAACAACAAGAGAAATGCACTTTTAAAAAAAATTCCTGCCTGTTGTTTTAATGGGCTGTAGCAAATGCTATCTTTGTATAATGATCAGTAAAAAGCAGTAAAGATTAAAAGCCTCACAAATGAAAACCCTAAATGAAGAAAACATAAAAGAATATTAAATAAAATTCTAAATGAAGAAAAACTAAAAGAATGCTATTAAGTAGTATTCCTTATTTTAGTTTTTATTTTCATTAAATCTGAGAATTCAACAGTGTTAATCATCAAATACAAAACATGATTAAAAGGGAATAATGAGGCAAACATTTTAATCCGCCTTAATAAAAAAAAAACCCATAATTTCTATATACAAACACTGTATGGTTTAAGCTGTTTTTATATTTGTACTGCAGCAAGAAATGATTTTACTTACAAGAAATATTGTCATACTCCAAATGGTATCAATGAATAAAGATTTTTAAAAATAAAAAATAAAGTCCAGCTTTTTTCTTATGGTTGTTACAAGAAACACTCATTTTTTATACAGTTGTTTTAAATTAAGAAAGGGAAAGGATAGAACAGTGAGTAATATGTAAATTTTAATACCCAAACGTATTTTCGCATCTCACCATTTTGCTTGACTTGGATGGTTTCCATCCACTTCCTTGGTTTTCTGAGGGCATCTTCCCTCAGTGCAGCATTAGTAGCAAAAGCTTTTGTTTGTGGACCACATTGAGGCAGTGATGTGAGGTTTTTGTTAACCTCTTCCATCATCTTGGGTTTATTTACATAAACGCTTTTTATTAGGCTCTTAAATGGGCTGCTTAACATTAAATATTTTTTTTATAAAATATTAGTATTTTCTGTTGTTCTTTCTCTATTATTTTCTCCTGTAGCTCCAGAAGTGACTCCAGGACTATGCTATTGAACATATAAAACACACTCTTTACTTTCTTTATCAATTTTGAAAACTCCCTGACAGATTTTAACGAATCTATTTATTATACAGACTGTTTACTTTCCATCAAATTTACCTTTATACCTAGACCTTAAGGTTTTATTCAGAGTATAAAGTGAAAATATGTAATACCTATGTATGTAAGTAAGTAGTAACCATGACTGAGCCACTGTGTATTTGGAGTGTATTCAAATCCATGGGATGGTCTTTCATAAAAATAAATATTCACTAAATTATTACTAAGTACTGTAGAACAGGTTTAAATTATTAAAATTTTAATTCAAACTTTAAAAAAAAGATATTTATCCATTAAATTTAACGAAAACTGTGGAACAACTGAACATAACAACAATTTTCAAAACTTTGTAAAATACTTTGCCAACTTAATTTCCATAGTTGATAACAAATTAAATTTGTCTTAATCCAACCTACCTGCTTTCTAATGGCATATGTGAGAATAAACCAGATTCTCTCAATAAGCCCACCGCGGATCTCCAGTGGTGATTTTCTAGTACTGAGGTATTCTAGAAAAAAGTACGTTTCTGAGTTATTTAATAGTTAAGTTTCTTTCAGAATGTAAAGAATTATTTGTTAGTAATATTAATCTGGTTGAAATTCTAATATTGATTGAGAATTTGTTTTCATTCCTCATTTCTTCGAAACATGAAACATTTTCTAGAATGCAAAAATGTTCTATTTTGATGATAAAATTGCACTGACCTTGTATAAAGTTGCCAAGTAATGGTTAGTTTTAATAAGGAAAGGTTGATTAACACCTGGATGATCCAGATCATGAGTGGCAGCTGCAATTAAGCTCAGCAAGATATCCCAAGGAGTTACAGAATTGGCAAGCTAAAGTGTGACAAAGAACAATTAATCATAAACATTTATGAAACAAACTCAACACTATTATAATAGTTTTGAATTAGCAGCCAAGGGTAGTGTTGACAGTCTCCTCCCCACTCCTGTTGTTTTTATAGGTGGACTGTTCGTTAATGCCACCAAGCGCCTGCCAGGTGCTGGCCTCATCATGACACTGGCGTAGGCATGACTGACAGAATCCCTGCCCACACGGAGTTTACAGAGCTCATCCTTAGACTGTTTCATTTTTAACAAACTTAATTAAAATGGTAGCTAAAGCATAACCATTCTTTTTGAGAAATAATGGCTTGAAAATGACAAACACAGGTATGCATATTGTTTTTATTGCAGCCATTGCCAAACAGAAGACCTATAACTTGGGAAGTGTTTATCAACAAATTGATTATTGGATTTAAAAAATATGATTTAAAATGAAAGGTTATTCCTGTAGTCCTAATGTTTAAGGACATTGTTGAGTAGCCATGTGAGCAGAAGTCTAATAAAAGCCTTTCCCAATAGATAAATACATTCAGAACAATGGACACAATGTATTCATGTCAGAAAACACAATCTTGTAAACTAGCAGTTATAATTTTACTCTCAATAATCATTTCCAAACTTATTTGACATAATAAAATAATCACAATAAATAAAAGTTTATTATTAGCTGACTGAAATTTTCAGTGATAAAAAACTACCACCCTGAATGTATCATCTGCTTTTCATAAATCACCCCTCATTTTCTGGCAAACTTGTACTTATCTTTTAAGTTCCAACTCCACTGACCCACCCTCCTTGTTCTCTGCTTCCAGCCCCTGCCCCAGCAAGGACTGATCTGTGTTCTACAGCACTTCACACGTCTTGTCACAATAACACTCATCAGAGCATGCTTTTCTTTAGATGTAAAAGAGGACAACAGTGGCTCCCTAAATTTTTATGATCTTTTGCCCTAACTGAAAAATTTTGAGCATACACCATTAATACAGGTATATTTACTTACAGATTATAATCTGTAATATTATATACTGAACTACATATATAGCATATTGTAAAACAAAGATGAAAATTGAAAGTTTTAAAAATATGAGATTAAAAAATATAGATTAAACTTTTATTATTTTCTTTCTATGCCAGAATGGATCATCTTTTTCTACAACCCTGTGGTAAGTTCATCTCAGTCAGAAAAATCACTGTCTGAGAGCTTGAATCTCCTGGAAAACTGTAAACTATCTAAAGACAGAGAATGTGTATTATTTATTTTTGTAGGACATGCAAAAGCATCTTAAAAATAAAGATTTTTTAAAGCACTGCTTACTAATCAAGATTAACAGAAGGCATGCAAAATGGAGCATACTGCATATAAAGCAACTTCTCTTCCTTGACATATAAATGAATGGGCATGGGTGTGTATATTTTATGAACATGTAATTTATTAAGCAATATGTAAAAGTTTTATATTCTTGTGATAACTAAAACAGAATGAAAGTGGCAGAAGAATAGACACATACCATCCTGGGAGAATACAATAATCCATAATTAGACTTATTAGAAAAACGAATGTATGACTACATATGACATCAAACAATCTCAGGTAGGTTAAAGAGTTAACCATTAAAAACAGAAACATGAGAAGCAACTAAATTTTTAAAAATTTGTAGAAAGAAAAGTAAGTCTGAAAACACAAATACAAAAAAAGAAAAATTTGACTCTATAAAAATGTAACATTTCTCCTTGTAAAAATAAATCTTCATGAGTATTAAAACAAAGACGAGGAATTCAATGACATTAATACAACTTTTTAAAGTGGATTTTAAAAAAGACAAATGTTATTTCCATCCTGTGGTTATATCTAGTAAAACCCAGCAATAAAGAAGAGTTGTGTGAAGAAGAAACTGCAAGTCATTTAACATCTGTGGAGGTTGGACTGCAATTGCATCTGCAAAGTTATCAGGGCCTTTTTCAATAAAACCAAAAACTATTAAATAGTGAGCTTCCCTGTGTTCAACAAAAAACTTGTTTTCATTGTTTGCTATCATTATGCTGATTTCCCACTGTAATGGTTATTACAAGTGTCTAATTCATTTAATACAAGACTTTAATCAATTTCAGAATAATTTTAGCAGCTGTGATGTAGCAAAATGTGAAAAAATAACTAATAACTGAAATTAAAATGCAAACTAGGAGGGCTGGCCCGTGGCTCACTCGGTAGAGTGCGGTGCTGATAACACCAAGGCCACGGGTTCGGATCCTATATAGGGATGGCCGGTTTGCTCACTGGCTGAGCGTGGTGCTGACAACACCAAGCCAAGGGTTGAGATCCCCTTACCGGTCATCTTTTTAGAAAAAAAAAAAAAAAATGCAAACTAGGGAAAATATTTTGTAGGAAATGACAAAGACCTAGACACACATTTCCCTAAAGAGGAAATACAAGAAAAAAAAAAATCTAAGCTCAAAATTGACCCAAACAAGTAAATTAAAGTGAGAGTTTTTTCCCTGCTAAATTGCCAAATCAAAAATATATATCTAATAGCAGAAAGAAGGTAACTGAGATACTCTCTTTTTGAGGGTAAAAATAAATTGGTACTATCATAAAGAGACTAATTTAGTGAGATAAAATATACAGATTCTGGATATATTATGTCAGTCCTGAAACTTATTAAGAAAAGAACCTCCCACATACAAAAAGGAAAAGCACAGGGAGGTATTTGTAGCATTAGCTGTAACATTAAAATCAGGCACAATCTAGAGGTCTAAAAACAGAGAACTAATACAGTTAAAGTGAACCTACTCAATTATAAAGACCATACTGCAACATCCATTTGCTAACACAACTCATGTTTACTGAGCACCTAACAACGTGCCAGCACTATTCTAAGAGACAGGTGTATACATTAATGAATGGACAGACAAAAATTCCTGCCCTGGGGGGGCTGACATTCTTATGGTTTCCACATTAGGTTCCAGTATGTTCCATGACTGAGATTCCAGAGGTCAAAATTTACTTCTTATACACAGTTTTTGTCATCAGCAACTAGCATGTCGCTAGGCATATACTTGGTACATGAATAAAGGTACATCCACAAGAAAAGAAACTCAACCATCATCAGTCTTGCTGGCCTCGAGAGGGACGTGGGGGCCAAGCTCTCATTTCAACTTTCAGGGACAAGTAAACAAGGTTTAAAGGTTCAGTAGGTTTGCTTATCTCTGGAACATGTATAAGTATAATTTTTATCCGGGCCTAGTTTAAATACAGTTATTCATTAATTTAAACTCAAATGTAAACATGAGAACAAACACTAAAATAGGAAATGGAAAAATCACAACCTCCCCAGCTGACAACTATAAATGTTATTACTGTCAATAAATCAAGAAAATATCAGGCTTAACTGGAACAAAATGCTTTATAATCTATACAAATTCAGCTTTGAGGACACAAAAAAATAGATATTAAAGTTAAAGATGATGCATATACAGAGAGAAGGATCTGTTCTCTAAGTTCTCAGTATTTTCTTGGGCTTGGAATATTTCTTGTTTTCATTTACAGAAGAGTCCAAGAATTAGCTCTTAATATAAATCATAAGGTATAAAAATTGAAAACAAATTTCTCACTAAATACAAGTATATATATTGAAGCCTTTCTACTTACTACTCCCTCTACACCTGGATTTTTCTATAGCTGACTCCTCAGTTATGCACTTTCACCTTAAGTGGTTTCTGACTACTCTACCTAAAGTTGCAAACTCTTGCCATCCACCCAGTCACTCTCCAGCACATTACTCTATTTTGGTTTCTTCATAGCAGTGATTACTGCAGTACAGATCAAAATTCTATTTATCTGTTTGTTTAATGATTGCCTCCCCTATTAGGATGTAGGCTTCACGAAGCCAGGGGCCTTTCCCGCCTTGTTCACCACTACATTCCTAGCACCAGGACAGTGTCTGGCATGTAACAGATGCTCAATGAATGTGTACTAAGTTAATGACAACGCTCAATAATGGGATGCTATGTGAAGGCCGAGGAAATAAAAGTGATACAAACTTAAAGTTTCCAATTTTTTACAATTCACTTCAAAAACTTTGACTCTGTTTCTATATGATAACTATAATAAGGAAAAAGAGAGCTGCTTGCATCTTAAGGCTTAGTGGTTTGATCTGTATCCTTAATTGAAGCTTTGGCTAGAATTCACTGAGTATGTTAATGATGAAAAATATTTAGAAGATACATAGGCAAAAAGTGTTTAAAATCACATTTGTATTCATTTTTGTCACAGGCCTCCCACACTTCTTGCCTGGCATTACCTGTTTCCTTGCCCCTGGCTGCTCCGGTTGGGTGTGGCCAGTGGGAAAAGCCTTCACTGACGAGTTAGGCCTCCTCTGCACCCCACAGACTCATCTCCCTCATTCCATTTACAAGACTGTATTGTATGTTGGTTACTTACAGTTTCTCCCACAAGATTCTCAAACAGAGGTTTCAGTCTTGGCCCCAAGTTTTTAAAAAATTTAACTAAAAATTGGGGCACTTGGGAGTATACTTTTGTTAAAATTATACACACAAAAGTTATTTATTTTATTACTGCATTTAAGTTATATGACAATCAAGTTGACTTAAAAAAATGATACATATACTAAAATAACTCAGGCCTTTTCACATATTCCACAATTCCTTTAAAAATCAGAAGACTGACGGAGGTCTCAAGTCAGCACCAACCGGCAGGGACTGGTTTAGCCAGCTGCCTCACTCCTGACATCCAGCCAGAAGGAAGAGCCCAGAGGAGGTCTAGAGGTAGGCAGCCACCCAGCTAGAGGTAGGTAGCAGGCAGAAGCTCCAGGGAGAGGAAACATGCACGGGCAAACAGATGTGCATCTCAGCTCTGACTTCTCTCCTATACTTCAGACTCTTATCCAACTCTCTACTAGACTTCTCCATTTGGATGCTGCACAAATACATCTCACTCCGCACATCCGGACTGGAACGCTTCATCCCCACCAGCCCAACCCCCACACTCGCTCCTCTTTCTCCACTCCTCCTCTCACTGAAGACTTCCACCTTCCACTGAACTGCCCAAACCAGTCTTCATCGACTCCTCCATTTCTTTCCCCCAGACACATTCAAACACCACACCCTGTTCATTCTAATTCCCAAGAGATCTTACAAACCATCCACTTCTCTCCCTCCCCAAGCCACCCTGATCTCTGTCATGGAGCACTGAAATAGCTCCTGGCAGGCATTCATGCTTAGGGTCTTGTCCGATTCATTCTCACACTACAGCCAGGATAATTTTCTAAGTATCCTGCTTCCATTCTGTAGCTCCCCATTCATTTTCTGAGCCAGACTGAGGCTGTCCCTGCCCTCATGCTGCTCATGTGGAACTCAGCGTAAATGCCAAACGTTGTCACACATTGTTCAAGGTTTCAAGTGATCGGGGCCTTGCTTGGACTTCTCCAGCCTCTCTCTCAACAATCACCCCAACTCTGGTTGCTGAATTTACAAATATAGCCACATTTAGCAATTTGATCGAGCTAGATCTCATTCTTACGAAGGAAGCTTCTGATTTTGAGTAAAGTCACTAATGTAAGGAAAAGTATTTGAAAGTAAATCACAAGGAATTTTCTTACGATTTTCACCTTATGTAAATGAACCCCTTACCTTAGGTTCTTTTAAGTAACAGTGCATGGCCTGAGTAACGTCTGCAGCATGGACTGCATTGTGGTAGGGATTTTGACTGTGGTAATCTTCTTGAATCATAACTGCATCAAAGAAAGAAGACCCCAATTTTACTGAAAATGGGACATATGTACAAGTACGAAACTGTGATAATTATGAATTAACCATTCACACGCTTCATGTAGCTATCAGCTAAAATTTTCCAAATTCAGAGAGATGATAATCACCTCACAACTAACACATATACCCAAAGAATCAATACCAACCTGACTCCTAACTTGTTTGAAAATTTTTTCAATAAGAACATATTCATGTCAAAATTGTAAAATAATTTTTTTTTTCTTTTTCTGTTTTAAACTATGAATCTATCATGGAGCCAAACTCTTCTGACTTGTTTTAATTTTAAAAGTTTCTCAGTTTGATAAAAACAGTACAATTCACTCAACAAATATTTACTGCCAGGTACTGTTCTAGGTACTAGAAATTCAGCAGTACACAAAAGCTAGCAAAAATCTTTATGAAGCTAAAATAGTACAAACACTGGGCTTTATGAAAATGACACAATGTGTGCATCACGGTTTTGGATCTGGAATTAGGTTTTCAGTACTAGGGGAGGGCTTTTGTTAATCCTGCCTT